GTCGCTTATAAAGTGTATTCTCACTTAATATATATATATATATAGATAGATAGATAGATAGATAGATAGATAGATAGATAGATAGATAGATAGATAGATAGATAGATAGATAGATAGATAGATAGATAGATAGATAGATAGATAGATAGATAGATAGATAGATAGATAGATAGATAGATACTGGTTTTTCAGACAACGCAGTGCGAGTGGTCGCACCGCAGTTGACGTCGCTGCTGGTGGCGACTCGCTGCAAAGGAGCGTGAGCCCCCGTCGAGGCAGCCAATGGTCACTGCTCTGCTCGCTCGTCGTGGCCGGTGTGGTCGAGCTGAGCCTCATACTGGCTGTGGTGTACGCTCGCCGAATCGTTGGTGGAAGCGGCGACAGCAACGTCGTGTTCCGCCTCTCGGGCGGCGATCTTCGAGTCACCACGCCCTACACCAACCACACCACCGCGGCCGACGTGCCCGACCTGTGCGGAACGATACCGAGGTGAAGCAATCCGTATATTAAGGCGAAAACCTTGGGTGCCTCCACAAAAACTGACCGTCTGCGTCAACACGAGTGATGCAAAAAGATATATTGTTTGATGACGTCGTCATGACGTCACAAATTGCCAGTTTGTGACGTCATTGTGACATCACTGACATGCCGCATGAGACGGTTATCACATGACGTCGTCGCTTGGTCGTGGTCACGGAGGCAGTGCGGAAAACGCGCTACGTCCAAACAATTTCAGGCACGGGGGAGATCGACACAATCGAACGAGAAATTAGACCGTGGCTTTAGCCTTCGAGTCGTCTTAAACGAATGTGTAAGGAACCGTATGAGTTTTCTTGCAGTGAAGACACGGTTCTGTGTGTTCTTCGTGTCCGTCAACAAAAACGTCCGCGCTTATCACGCTCCACGGCTTCCGAGATTGCGCGGCGTGGCTATAGTTTTGCCCCGCTCTGCATGGTGGCGGTAGTCGCGTCAACTCTGCAACATGTATAGCCACGTGTAGTTAAAACTACCGAAGAACTACCGAAGTAGCCACCTCTCGTTTTAGTCCTTGGTACGTCGACTGGATGGCGGTACTTGTATATGATGAAAAGATGCGAGATGGTGGTACTTGGAGTGTGCAATAGATAGACGAACGGACGGACGGACTGACAGAAACAGACGGGCAGACAGACAAACAGACAGACAGACGGGCGGGCAGACAGACAGACGGGCGGACAGACAGACAGACAGACAGACAGACGGCGAACAGACAGACAGACGGACGAACAGACAGACAGACAGACAGACGGACGGACGGACGGACGACCGGACGGACGGACGGACGGATGATTCACAGTTTGCCCATAGATCCCTTCAAAGCTTCGCCCCACTCATCATCATTCAATCCGTGGATACGCTGTGATTTTTTTCTATGTGGGCATCCGCATGTAGATATAAGAATCGAATTTCGTTCGCCAGACAATATGTTCGAGGGCCCGCTGGGTTAATGGCCGTGCGAAGGGCTTGACAAGACATATGTGAGCATTATATACACGACAGCATATGTGCAATGTGAGCAATTACATGTACGACATGCCATAACAAAAGCAAATTAAAGTACACAGAAGTAACTAGGACAATACGACCGCTCCACTCATTTATTTTTTTGTTGTATTAAGATCCTGTTTAACTAATATGACTCCGAGCCTGCGCACGCCGCAGTGTGAAATATACGACCAACACGTTTCGCTCGGCAGGCAAGTGTACAGCCGAGGGGGCACGGTCGCCGACTGCGCTGTGGCCTTCGCCCTCTGCATGGCCGTGGTGGCCCCACACCGGGTGGGCCTTGGTGGAGGATTCCTCGCGACCATCTACGAGAGGTACGGGGCGTGTACGCGTTGCACGCCATATGCACCGGTAATTTATTACGAATGACAACCTTGGATCCCTCAACAAACGCGAAAATTCAATGTTGACGATGTCTGCACGATAGAGCGAGGCAGAAAATCATCACTTGATGACCGTCATTAGGACATCGCATATCGCCGAAATATGTGATGTCATTGTGACATCGCATGACGGCATCATCACACGAGATCGATCGTCTGGTCGAAGGTGGGCCGATCACCGTGGCAGTGCAAATTCAGATGGGTTCATAAATTTAAGCTAAACAGCCACGAAAAGCGAACACCTGGGACAAGCTAAAGACTCGGCTGGAAGTGAACGCTTGTCCTGTGTGTTTGCTTTTCGTGGAAGTGCATTTTCGCGCTGTTTAGCTTGAGTATGAATAACGAGCTAGTCCAGTCAGCCGCGTTATTAAGTATTCATGTGTATTGCATTGCGCAATATATCCTATTCTTAAAGCAACGCAAAGCCACGTTATTTGCAAAAAGCTCAAGGGGGTTATGGAGCCGGGTGCCGGCAGTTTTACTACATTGACGAAGAAGATGAAGAATGTGTAGGTGGATTTTGCTTTCGGGTCGTCTTAGGCGTGTGCACAAGGGAGCCTGAGATTTTTGTGATAACCGTAAAGTGGACACTTCAGACGCAACTAGGGCCATCGCCATGAGGTTTCGTATAAAACCCAACCACTCTTTTTTTAAGAATGGCGGTATTTTTCAAACCACTCTTTTTCGAAAAGATTTTCTAATGAGTGTCATCACCACTCCTTTAAAAATTCAACATACGCCACACGCAATTTGAAATATTCATATGACGCAGAAAAAGTGTAGGCCTATACGAGCAAGCATAGTACGTGTTCTCCATCAACAGCGCCGGTCGATGGCATTGGCGCTCCGTTGCCATGTAAATTGTCTCGATTTCTATTTCCGGTCGCAGTGGTTGTGCAAAGTTGTCCTCCATAAGCGTAATTCGACCAAAATAATGTCTGTGTAAATTCTAAGCCGGTTAAATTCCTGGTCCTTTTTTTTTCATTGACGCAGAAAATCCAAGCAGGTGTTCGTACTTGACGCGCTCCCGATGGCGCCGAGGAACCTGAGCGAGGTGGACGAGGACGTCAATGCTTCTGTAGGTAGGTATCAACGCCACCGCCGCTAGCGCCACCGCATGTGTGTGCTTGTGTGTATGTCGTCGAAGTCGTCGTCAAAATATCGAGACGGAGACGGGGTGGTAGGCCACTGGCATATTCATCTCATATTTACAGATGAGGTCAGGCAGGGATAGGATTCGATGGAGTCCACGTGCCGAACCGGCTGACCTCCCTTTCTTCCTCCTCTTCCGTGGCTCATATTGAGGACCTTACCATATACCTTAACGAAATTATTTACAAATTTCAAGCAAATTAACGTTCGATTGTTTTCAGTTGCGTGACTGAGGGGACACGCGCATGTAAGAAGAATGGTCAAAGGATTGTCGCGAACCCCCCCCCCCCAAAAAAAAAGACAAATATTGATAGAAAACACGACTGTCTGCTGCCGTTGCTGGTTTAGGACGAAAGCCTTAGATGATTCATGAAACGCGAAAATTGAACATCAGCGTCAAGACGAGTGATGGACGGGGTGATGTCACACATCACCGAAGTTTGACATCATCATTACGTCAAGTAACGTGACATGATGACGTCGTCACATGACGTTGCTGTTGACTCAAAGGTGGGCCGATGTCGGAGACAGCACAAAACCAGTTCTTGCAATGTCCGCGATCATGGAGGCCTTACAAAACTGCGTTAGGTGATGGCTGTCACTTTCGAGTCGCCCTAAGCGAATGCATAAGAGACCCTATGAGTTTTCCGTAATGGTTATTGCTGTTGTCCGCTTAGCTTATCGGCGTGTTTTGCGGTCCGTTTGCAGCCGCATCGAGTTCGGGCGGCCAGGTCATTGCCACCCCGGGTTACCTTGCCGGGCTCGAAGCCCTGCATTCGCGGTTCGGTCGGCTTACGTGGTCATCGCTGTTCGAGAGCGCCGTCTCACTGGCGCACTTCGGCTTTCCCGTATACCCGGAGTTGGCTGCCATTCTGGCGCGTTTCCAGAAAACCATCGCCCGGAGGCACTCTCTCAGGTAAGCTGAACATTGACGACGTTCATCCCACTAAATATATGGGGTCTTACGTCCCACAACCACGACACAATTATGAGGGACGCCGTAGTGGAGGGCTCCGGAAGTTTTGACCTTGCACAGTACGACATTGCACAGTACACGGGCCTCTAACATTTCGCCCCCATCGAAATATGACCTCCACGGCCGGCATCGAACTCGCAACCTTTGGTTCGGCAGTCGAGAACCGTATTCGCTGCACTACCGTCGCGGACTGTTGTTGATCCCACTTTAAGGCTATAGCGGAAATAAGGTACTCTTGTGGCAAACATTAGAGACAGTATCTATCTATCTATCTATCTATCTATCTATCTATCTATCTATCTATCTATCTATCTATCTATCTATCTATCTATCTATCTATCTATCTGTCTGTCTGTCTGTCTGTCTGTCTCTGTCTGTCTCTGTCTGTCTCTGTCTGTCTGTCTCTGTCTGTCTGTCTGTCTGTCTCTGTCTGTCTGTCTGTCTGTCTGTCTGTCTGTCTGTCTGTCTCTGTCTGTCTGTCTGTCTGTCTGTCTCTGTCTGTGTCCGTCTCTGTCTGTCTGTCTCTGTCTGTCTGTCTCTGTCTGTCTGTCTGTCTGTCTCTGTCTGTCTGTCTCTGTCTGTCTGTCTCTGTCTCTGTCTGTCTGTCTCTGTCTGTCTGTCTCTGTCTGTCTGTCTCTGTCTGTCTGTCTCTGTCTGTCTGTCTGTCTGTCTGTCTGTCTGTCTGTCTGTCTCTGTCTGTCTTTACTTTTTTCTCTATTTCTTTCTCTTTCCTTTTTCTCTCTCTCTATTTTTTGCGAAGCTATCACCTGAAGAGAACAAAATCGCCAGTGGCGATGTAACAGCTGCTTATCCGCCATAAAGGTATTTACGCGGAGAAGCACGCTTTACAAAACAAAGCGCGCTTTTCTGGCTCAAGCGGGCTTAATCGTCTCTCTCACGGGGCGCCCTCACGCAGGCACATATTCTGGAACCGACAAACGGACTCTGTGTACCGTGAGAACGAGACTCTTCTGCAGCCCGAGCTCGCCCTCACCCTCCTCCGGGTGGCGCGCGAAGGTCCCAAGGCACTCAGCCAAGGAACGCTGTCCAGTCAGTTCCTCGGGGACCTCGAAGGGCTCGGTATGTTCACGACGCTCGCGCTGTGGGCCTCTGAGAGAGTTCACACGGAGCTAATGGATCGGATTAGTACTAAGATTGTGGTGCGACGATGGATGAACGGGACGCCAGACGACGTTCATAAGGACTAGGCGGACACCTCCAACCGACACAACAGTTTAACTGTGCACGACAACAACCCTTAGAAACAAATAGCAACGACAACGTAAGAACGATTGTAGACTTCTGTTAATCGCACAATTAATACAAAATAAAACAGTCAGACACAAAGTAATGATAAGGGTGTGAATAACGAAAGTAATTTTATGTTAGTAGGCACACCCTCCTCTGTAAGGCTAAGTGTCGTCGTCTGTCTCTGTCTTGGTTCTCGTTGTAGAAGGCCATAGCCCCGCTTTATAGGCCATGGTGAGAGAAAGCGAATGGTTGGCCTTAACTTCTTTTATCACACTGCGAAAAGCTGATCAAAGCCGCTTACACACGGAAGTCAATATTGCGGCCAATTGTCCTGAAAACGTTGAAAGTTCAGTACAAAAAAAAAGTTAGGCACCTAGCTTTGAAAAGCACTTGGCTGCGTAGCCCTTGTTTAGCGCGCTGAAGCTTCAGCTAAATATGGAAGCCGACATCCACGTTTCAATAGAAGTGAAGCATGCAATTTGCAAAAGTTAATTTCGTTGTGTGCGTTTGTACATGTTTGTGTACACGAGCGGTTAGAGCGTCCACCTCCAGAGCGGGCCGTACTGGCTTCGATTCCAAGTGCTGCCAGAAACTCGCCAGTTTTTCAAATGTGCAGAGAATGTGTCCTATCCCTCCCGCTCTCGTCTATCGCTCGCCTTCTTGCCCCCTCCCAACGACGCCACGCTGTACAAGCTGACGGTTGTCTCGTCCACGACTTCCTCTCTTCGACGACCGCTCGCCGATCGGGGCCCCGTCCACGGACTTCTCTAACCATCTCCCTATTTCTCACTTTCTATCTCTACATCGCTGTCAGTCTCTTTTAATCCCTCCTTATCCTTCCCTTGCGACCAAGTGCTGACTTGTCACACTTAGCTGCAGACAGTTGCGGGGTTCCCTTTCCTTTCATTTTTTTTCTTTATTTAAAATCACTTCCCCGTTACGCTTAACCAGTCGTACTAGCTGGTTTCCGCTCGAACCGTGAGTACTTTTTCTCGGCTAAAGTAGATACAATGCGTGCTGAGAATTAAATATCATGATTAGTACATAAACCATTACGTTTCGTTGAGCAACGCGTTGTCTGATTGCCTCATGAAATTTACCAGGACGTCCAAGTTTCTGAGCTTATACCGGTGACACGAACCTGGGCTTGGAAAGCCGGCTATCTGAAACCCGAGAAGTGCCTGACGTCACGAAAATAAGTAAGGGCTATTGAATTAAGTTCGGTCGCATTTCAAAGTCGATCTTGAGTTTCCTTATAAGTAGTACGCACTTCCACTGCGTGTTGGTAGTTACCCCCCCATGCCATGAACTCGTTCACGGTGTGATTTTTCTCAACAGAACCTCATCAGGTGTGAGGCCCACGGGACGGCTTTATGCTCTCCCATAGTAGAGTACCAAGTACTATAAACCGTTGCCCACTTTTTCTATACCCACAAGGACGTTATACGACTGCGAAGAACGAAAGTATGGCAAGCCGTCCTGTGGATAGGCGTACTTGTCAGGGTGGCAGGTGGGGGCAAGGGCGGGGGTGAATGCCCCCTCTCTAGTCAGTCAAGGCGTGTGTGTGTAAAATCTGCACCATACATTGACTCCAACACTTTTGAAGCACCTATTTTTCGTATGTATTTTGCGTAGACCGGTGGCCGGGGATAATTTTAGCATAGGTGCATGCACCGATATCAAATCATTTAGTATTTTAATTATGCAATTAAGTCACCTCATTGCTGCCGACCGCGTCGGCGCACAGTGGCGCTCGCATGAACTACGCGGGCGGAAATGACGACGATGAGCGCAGCCTATCACAGGACGCGTAAAGCCTCGCTCCGAAGCAAAAGGGCCTGCTCGAGTTCTGACAAGTCGGGGAGGCTCATTTCTACCAGCTTCACCCAGCTGTTCGACCGCGTAAACAAAACGGCGTGGTCAGGCACCACGTTTCCTGTTGCTATAGCAACAGCGTCATAAACAAATTTGAATGAACAGGCAATAATGGTGTATGAGCTTTCTCTATGTAAGAGCTTTCAGCCCATGTCATTGGAGGCCCCCTGCAACGCCACAGCAGAGAGTGAATTGTGGCCATGTCACCGCGCGAAATTCGAGTTGAGGGTAGGCATTTTTTTTCTTCTATTTTGAATTGTTTTAACTGAACAACTTCGTACGCGTGCCGCTATCGCTGCCGTTCTTGCCGCACTAATTTGTCCGTGCGTCAGTCTATGCAGTCAACGAGTAAAAAATGGGGGGTTGAAAAGTGTTAGAGGGCCTCTTTAATAGGGATGTGGACGCTGCAACCAACCTTCGCCCCCCTGATGGGGAACCCTGCGGCCGCTTGTGCTTTTGTGTAGCATTAAGTATCGCTGTCTGTCTCTTAGCACTTAATGCAAATTCCCTGTGGGAGGAAGAGCAATGGCTGTGGGCGTAGCCGACATCTAAGCCGTAATTGACTATAGAGCGCCTATTTGTGAAATACCTACTTTTCATCTATGATTCGCCTTCTACTACCCCAGGGTCTCCAGTGACGCAGGAGGACCTATTGTTCTACCGTCCCGCGTGGAAAACGCCCGTACAAAGCGTGTCACTGGCCGGCGCACGGCTGCACGCCCCGCCTCCTCCGGGAAGTGGTGCCTTGCTAGCATTCATGCTGGCCACGATGGACATGTTCCGTCCCAGCAGGAAGGACCTGTTGAGTGACGGGCCACTGACGTACCACCGGTTTATCGAGGCGATGAAGTTTCGCTCACCCATTCCGGGAAGACCTCGGCGACGACGCTGTCGAGAACGTCGATGACGTACGTGTGCGCTAAAACAAATCTCCCAGGGTCCATTTTGCATTCGCTATAGATGACTCGAAGGTGAAGCCATTTTCTTGTTTTACATGTCAGTCACTGGATATATCCTCCCGGCCCCCCTCCCGAAGCTTTCTGCCTTAACTTGATTTTGCACTGCCTCTAGAGGCAAAGCATTCCAAGATTTCTGCATCTCAGCAGGTTTTGTATTGCCTCAGTGATCGGCCCAACTTTAATCAAGTTACGTTGTCCTATGAAAAAGTCATCACGTACTTCATAGTGACGTTATACATTTTGGCCATCTGTGAGGTCAAGATGATATCATATTGCCACGTGCTTAACTTCGGCGAGAAAGCAAAAAAAGACACTACAGTTACATATGCATGTGCCATGAAGGACAATATATAGAAAGTACAAAAGAGAACTCGCTGGCGCGCTCTATTAAAACGAGAACGACTTGCTTGTGTTACCTCGATCTTTGCGTTAAGACCTCTGCTTTGACGTCATGACAGTATGGTGGCGTCATCTCGTGGTGATCATCTTTCATCACTGTGTTGGCGCTGACAGTCGATACCAGGGGTGCAAAATCATCACTACGGAACTTCACCACCACCCCGGCCGACCACCTGACTTGACGCGCTGGACGCACGGTCCACTGCATCGACAACTCCTGGCCTTTATACATGAAACATGACTTTTTTCTTTTTATTTAACTGATGCCGTAGGGTATACTGGTGCCAATAAAAAAAAAAGAAAGTGGTCCCGTGATGAAGAGTATACGCGTTTTGAGGCATCCAAGACCCTAAAACTTCGATATTCTGGATTGAAAGTATTGAAGTCTGCCATATTGTCAAGTCCTGTAATATAGAGGCCACAGCATTCACCTACCTACCTACCTACCTACCTACCTACCTACCTACCTACCTACCTACCTACCTACCTACCTACCTACCTACCTACCTACCTACCTACCTACCTACCTACCTACCTACCTACCTACCTACCTATACCTACCTATACCTATACCTACCATGCATGCATGGTAGATATGCATGGTATCTATCTACATGCATGGTGATCTGAAGCGGATGTTTGAGAACTATGTGGTTTCGCTAAACAAATGCAGACGGTGGCCAATCTAGTGTCCCGAGGCCAAGCACTCAAGACCAGTGGCCGCATTAGCGACACGTCCACCTTCTCGGACGTCATATTCTACGTGTTCGACATGCAGCTAGTGCGAGACACCATTCGTGGCGTCGCTGAGAGAGAGTCGCTGGAGCACTACGGCGACATACCGAGAGAACCCGAGCACGACGCCAGCAGTGGTAATCGCAATGGCGGCGTCCACTACGACCGCGCTACTCGGAGGCCGAGGTCACGGTAAGCCTGCAACGTGTCTTCTCTATGTATGAAACCAAATAGAAAATATATTTACTATTTGAAGGAGAGAGAACGGCGCTGTCTTCTCTAGCCCTAGTGGAAGCCGGCAAAGAGCTATATTTCTCACGAAGTTGGAGAATGTGTCTGCACTTCTCCCCATTGGCTCAGCCAGTGCCATTCCATGCATGCTTCTCTGCATGGAAGAGCGTGATAAAAGCAGTCCGAGTTTCTGCAGAACACATTAATTTTGTCACTGCATGCCGATTCGACCTTTAATATTATGACTGCGCGAGTTCATTTACAGGTCTTCGGTGCTTTTGTAGAAGATGCAGAAGCTATATGAGGGCCTCTTTTGTTGCGATAACAGTTAACATGGGCACTCGAGGCGCATTTATGCCGTCACCGTTACCGTCATGCTCCGCATAAAGTCCAAATCGATAACATTGCCTAACGTCTATGTGCGAGCAAAGCGTGCAAATGCTGCAGACAGGCGCAGTGCAAGCATAGAAGAAGCCGCAAGAAAAAGTCTAAATGAGTGCTGGTAAGAGGCGGTGACGCAGCCCCTCACCGGCACTCCTTTATGCTTGGTCAAAAGGGCACAGTCACGCGCTATGTGTCTACAAAGATCAGTAGATGGCTCATAGATATATGTGTGCACTGTACTTTCACCGCTGACGTTGCGTTGAACCGCCAAAAGAGACAGCGCGAGAACCTCTTTGCTCGCTTCAGCGGCCGTATTTCTTTAGACTAGCATTGCGTAGAGTTACGCTAGGTCGGATCTTAACTACTTCTGAAAGAACTTTACTCGACTCCTAATTTCCAACTCCTCGAATCCTTGCTCCACTTCGACTCCTAACGAAGTCCTAATGCTTTTCCCGGGTTGATGCGAGTGTTGCGTGCTCGCGTACTTCCATTCCATAGGTGACGTAGCTCGCCCGTATTTTGTTGCGCGTACGGCCGTCATACATTTGCGCCCGTTCTTGCAGCTCTTCGAAAAAGAGCACGGCGAAGCATTTCGAGGTCAAGCACGCAGCAGCGAACGCGGTGTTCTTGGCACCTAACGGCGATGCCATCGCTTTCTCCGGCAGCCTCGGCACGCTGTAAGTGGGGCTTTGGCTTAAGCCTAGCAGCGTATCGCAGACATATCCTCTAATTTTTTCCCCCTATAGGAGGTCTTTGTCGAGAATTTACGTGTTTGAAAGCGTAAATTTTATCCAGCCTTCCACTTAAGTATACGTCTTGAAACGACGTTAGGGCGGTTACGATACTGCAGGAACATTGCTCAGGGGAAGCGCAATGAAATTTAAGCCTGTTTCACATGCGAGCGAACGAGCGGCGGGGAGGACGCGCGGACTAAGAGTTACCGGAGTCGCGGCCATTTTGTCGGGGCCACAAAGTGGATCCAAACGGCGGTAAACGTACGCAGGATGGGTTCTCACGAGGCCTCGACGTCCACTGGCCTGTTGCTGAACAACGAGCTGAGCGCGTTCACGTCGCGCCTTCCCGAACGCTACCTGGGTCCACGCCGGCGTGTCGCTCAACTTCGCGCAACCCGGGAAGCGGCCCCTGTCGACCGCTGGCTCCCTCGGTGCTGCTGGACGCTGCCGAAGGACGGCTCGTCGCTGCGCTCGCAACATCCGAAGACTTCGAGTTGCCGCAGTACGCCGCATGGGTGAGCAAGTGTCCTAGTTCAGCGGTATCCATAAAATCGGATTGCGGATACGTATCAAAGGGACACCATAAAGTAAACACCTCAGAACAGTTTAGACGGATAAGTTATAATCTTTCAGAACTCCATTGTCATGAATTTCGCTATTATGGTTTAATTGTCATAAGGGCAAATGAACGTAGTATTTTCGTGCTTGAATATCGCACGGAAACTTTCAGCCCGTGAACGTCAGTGGGACCTCGCGCAATCACAAGTCTTTCTGCGCATTTTGGCCACATGAATTTAATGAAATTTTCTTAAACTTGCTATGCTATCACATATCACGTTGGACAGTACGCAATCTAGCCAAGAACGACTACGTAGGTGACCGTAGACACTGTTAAAATATATTGATTGACTGAAAACATTATTCAGACTATATACAAAGTGCTCACTTGTTGGCTTCCGCACCATGGCATAACGTCATGGCACGCTAGTGCGGGAACTTCAAGGCGGCGGCGCCACCCGTATATTTCCTTCAATTATGCAGTATGTAATGGACCAGTTCTGGTCCACTCCGTGATAATATGTCCCTCTTGGTCAAGTATCGGCCTCACTTGCACTGATTGCTCAAATCTGAAAGCACACCTCGGGCAGAATTGTCTCGACATCGCTGGGCACACGGGTCCTTTTTCGTCACCGAATGCAATCATCAGACCAAATCTCTCAATCACCAACGACAACGTGCGATGCGTTCACCGTTGTGTGCCTTTTAACGCAATATCATTAAAGAGCTCGTTTCGAAGAAATTCTGGTGTCGGCGTCGTTGTTTGTGAGCGAAAAATCTCGTGCGTGACTGAAACATCGAGAAAGATTGAAATAAACAAAGTCACAGCTTTGCCGCACAGGCGAAGCAATTAACGCGATAGCAACAGATTAGAAGGTCACACGCAGAATGGCAAGCAGATCAAAACGTCCCAAATAACTGTAAACGTCTCCGTTGTTACTTCGCTATCTGAAAAGCGCGCCCTTTTCGCAAACAGGGACTGTGCACCGATTGCAGTGACCTTTGCGCATACCGGTAAGCTACAGCAAAATCGTTCCGGAGAAAGCCCAAGGCCAGCCAAGATGTACGACTGTCCCAACCCCGAAATAAGCGCACGCGCGCGCGCGTTAGCGTTCACCCTGCTATCTCTCCGCGGGGCAAAGTACGCGTGGGAGATTAGAGCGTGCACCGCAGCGTCGTGACGATGTGGCGACGCGCACTCATTGCGCTAGTTTGACGGTAATGCTGAAAGCACGATAGTTCCCCCCGAGATGCCTGCCACCAGCGGTAAATGGTGGATATAAATAGGTTGCCGTTTGAACGTTCAAGGAGGTGCTCCTTCGTGGCTCAGTGGTTACCGCCTAGCACTCACGGATTCAGAGGTCTCACGTTCGATTTCACGCGCCGAAGTTTTTTTAATTATTATTGTTCTTTATTGCGTTTTCATATATATAGATACGTATACATATACGGTGAGTGACGGCGGCGTCGACTCTAGTGGCAAAATTAGGCCGAGCGTGTCCATATAATTGCTATCACAATAGTAAATAATAAAGAATACTTGGACTGGGTAAGAATCGAACAGTTTGAGTGGCAAGCGGATGTTCTACAACACTGCTACAAGTCTGCTTGGAAGTCCCCTTGTCTGCTTCAAATGCAGTGAACGTAACCTTCATGCTTTGAAAACACACGTGCCCTGTAAACATGCTTCGCAATACAACATGAAATATTGCAGTAATAATGCGTCGTACAAGCGTAAATTGCCGTCGGGCGTCAGAACATGCCATAATCCCAAGAACTTTATGGTTTAAAGCCGGTCCCTCACTACAAAAGGCACACACGTTACTGCGCCTATTTCCTTAAGGCCACGTAGTGGGTGCATGACAAGTTCGAAAAGATTTCATGCACCAAGTGTTTGAAGTACGCACTACGCATAGGATATCGCTATCGCGTTCAACTTTTGAAAACGAAGCTTAAGTGTCCCCCAATTTTTGTTTCAAGAAGCAAGGTTTTTACTTTAGTTTTGTTTAATGAGCAGTACTGGTTTAGACCACAATCATGTCGTGGAACAATCACTTGACCGATTGACTGATCAAGGCCGAAATAAGAAATATTATTACCCTAACACAACATGAAGCTATGCAAGATAGCAGGGTGCAACTGTTCTCACAACAAATCCGTGCAGGTCGAAGCCTCGCCGCGATGACGTAGCCACCATTTCCTTTTTTTTTCTCTCTCTCCCTCCCTCTCTGTTTGGCAGCGCGTTCGCTCAACACCACCTAGACTTGGTTCGCTGTGTGCTGTTCTGTGGCTGTACGCTGTGCGCGGCGTCTCCCTGTTCTGTGGCGGCGTGCGCTGTCTTGTCATATTAAGCTGTTGAATATTAAGCTGTTGTCAACGGGAGGTATGCTGTGCGGACATCAAGAGACCTAAATGCAAGAATGTCTCGATTGCTTCTTAATGTTTTGCTCTGCGCGTAGATTTAGTATTGAAACACGTAGATGAAGGGACTCAACACGGCAGGACAGGCTTGTTTGCAGTTGCGGTTAGTGCAACACTAGGCAATTGATTGGTTTTCGCCTTTTTGAAGGTCGGGTTATCATTGTTCGGGTTGCCGGTTCAGTTTCCCTGGCACCGATTCATTTCGGTTTGAGTGGAGTACCGGGTCCGGGACATGACCCAATCTTCAGCAATTTTAAGAAACGTTATTGGAAGTGAACTGTTTTAGTTTCGGGCTCCAGTCATGATTAGAACAGCGCATGCAAGCTAATCGTGACTTTAAAAAATTAAAAATCTGCCATAGGGTCACATACCTTATCTATTCTGCTCCTGTGCTCTTTAGATAATTGCCTTGAATTCAAGGCAGAGCTGCGCTTGGGCGTTTATTTTGTTTCCATTTGTGCGTTTCAGAATTAACATTTATGTTATTTTCAACACCAAAAAAGCAATCGTGCGCAACACGAGACACGAATTGTGGTTGGGTTATTCGTGACACATCCGTATGTGCCATCCCTGGTCCTGCTAAAAGTGTGAATTACACGTTAGAGCGAGGCAGGACCGATGTTGAACTCATATGAGAAGCTGAAGCGTCGAGCTTTTTTGTAGTGTTGTATTAAAAACCCAAGGCCCAACCAAACTGTAACGTGTTGGTGCTGCTTGTAAGCTGTAACTTAAACGCCATACGAAAAAAGTCTGGGTAATTATTAATAATAATGATATTTATATTTATTATTCTGGTTGACGAAAGCCAGAATTTCTTGCCAGAGGCAGCGCATCTTAGTTTTTTTGCTGCCATTACACAAAAACTAAAACGAGATTTGATATTGCCCTCTGCCATGCATAAAACTAGGTGCCTTCATTAAATCCTCTTCATTGTTTATTTTCAGCCAATGTCGTCTTCTCCGTGATCCACTGCGGAACTCGAATCCCTCTGGACAATGTGCTGTTTCCAGTTGTCAAGGGAACCGTCAAAGTATGCATATCTGGAATGGAATACTAGCAGAAGACACAGGAGAAAAAGAAGACCAAATATGTTACATCGTGATGCACTTGCAAACGTTTCAATCTCATTCAGATATGCAGTAGCCTTCCAGTTCAAAGATTGTGTGCAGGCAGTGTAAGGTGCATAGTTTGCGGCAGCTGTATTTAACGTATTTTCCCTTATACATATGCCCCTTTTGGGGCCCTTAGGGTATTTCTAGCCAATGAATACATTTAGGAAAAGCCCAAGAGCATTATGACTGTGAACGAGACACATAGCTGGGGGTTACTGCACACCGAAATGTTCAGTTTTGCTGGGACCTCTTCTACCTCCTCTCCCACCTTTGACGTTTTGCCATGCCTTCCCCCCATCAGTAGTTGCGAGCGAAAGAAAATCATGGCTACATCCCTGGTGTGAACTATAAAAACATGGGCTTGTTTTTTTTTTTTTTGCACTTATCAAAGCTGACCTGTGTGTCTGTTAACATGCAAAAACACCAGAAATAAATATTCTTTATTTCATTTACAGCATGCAAGTACCGCTGATTGGCCGAAGGAGTGTACGGAAAAAGTGAACAAACCTCCAAGGCACAAAGAAGAGGGTTCATGAGGCGTCTCTCCTTTGCATGGAAAGGCTATGTAGTATGCACCATACATTGGGTTGCATGTTTTGGATACATGACGGGCAAAAACTAGGCAGCTCTACGTTGACTATTTCTAGTTTCACGATACTAAATGTACATGTTAAAGACTTTAGTTCAAAAATACTAGCTGATAAATGCTAAGTTGAGACGATCACCTTCCAGTAATATTTTCTTGTGCATTCGTGTTCCTTATGCAACCCCTTTTTATATCCCCATTCCCATATGGTGCCATTTAAAAAGTTTTCAGATTGAATAATTAAGCAGCTCGCCCAAGTCAGTAGTATCA